ATCCTTCATGTTAGATTGGTTCAGATTTTTTCCCATATTTATTCGGTGCATTTTGACTGAAGTAATATGCATAGGGATGTTGAAAATTTCCTCCAAATTCCCAAAAAAAAAAAAAAAAAAATCAAGGGTCTGTTATTTTTGAGCTTATTTCGGTCATAATGCTTGACTGAAATAATGCTTTCCCTAGTTTGGTCAAGTATTATGACCGAACAAATTGAAGGAGTTTTTCAGTCACATAATTTGACCGAATTAATCACTAGGAACAATATATTATAAATATATTATTAATCACTAGGTTAGTTAAGTCCCCTAATTGTTATTCTTTTTTCTACTTGTTGACGTTTCCTCTTTTTTGCTTAATTTGTTTCAAACTTTTTGATCTAAATTTTATAAATAATTTAATAAATAAATTCTACCATATAATTAGCTATATGTTCTAAATATATATTAAAACATGTAATTGAAAGCTTTATCTTGAAACACATAAATATAAAATAGAACCTAATATCATAATTAAAGTGTTATGACCTAAAATACTAATTAAAGCACTATGCCCTAATCTCATACATGTCCATTCATATATAATAATAGAAGATGTTTTGATACAAAGATCAATTGAAAACAATGCCAATTATGCTCCCCCACTTCTCCCAGTCCCTCCTTCTCCTTGCATCCCTCCTTGCATCCATCCCTACATGGCTTCTTGCATCATAAAAAACATTCTCTCCATCCTCTCAACCTTCTCTTGTAATGTCGGTTGATTCTCTTGTAACTCTGTTACAGTCTGTTGCAATTGCACCACCCATTGGGATGACTGAACAGAATTATCAGGTATGATATGCGAAGGACGCTTACAGTGTGACACCCCTTGCTCAGCAGAGTCCATGTACATAGGCATGCCATAAAGTCGCCCATCCTTTGAAAGTCCGCCCAAAACTTGGGACAAAAGCTGGGCGTCAACTGTTGTTGGCCATGCAGTTGTATCCTCATATTTCTGAATGGCCTCTGTAGTTAATCATTCATGCAATAAATCATATAATATATTATATCATTTAATAAAGTTAAAAAAGATTATATACTCAACAGTATATTTGCAACTATAATATTCAATATAATTATAAATATCATAATAAAATTTGTTAAAATTTTCATAAATCATTATAAATTTTAAAAGAATTCGACAAAATTTCCCCTAAAAACTGTATTTTCCCCATGTAAACAATGTATAAAATTACATTCACCAGTATAAAATTACATTCACCAATATACATATTTCCAGTTATGATATTGAATAAAATTAAAATGCAATCTGATTCCACTTAGATAAATAAATAGAGGATATTTCAAGTTATCCCACTTAGCCAATTAATAAGATACCCTTAATTTGAATTTATTTTTTTAATATGAATAAAAATGAAAGAAAAAAGGTTAGGTGATTGTAACTAAATTAACCAAAACAAGAAATTGTCAAACTTTTTACTTAATGTTGACTAGAGACTTCATATAATTATCAATACCATATTATAAGCACTTAAATTTATCACAATTCATTATAAATTTATAAAAAATTTTATAGAGTTTCCCCTAAAAATTGTGTTTTTCCCCTGTATACAAAATATTAAAATACAATCAACTAAAACAAGATTAACCAAAACAAGAAATTGTCAAACAAATTACTTAATCTTAATTAAAGACTTAATATAATTATTAATACCCTATTACAAGTACTTAAATTTTTCATAATTCATTATAAATTTATAAAAAATTTAATAGAGTCTCCCCCTAAAAATTGTATTTTCTCCATGTGCACAAAATATAAATATACAATCAACCAAAACAAGATTAACCAAAACAAGAAATTGTCAAATAAATTACTTAATCTTGAATTGAAACTTAATATAACTATCAATATCATATTATAAGTACTTAAATTTTTCACAATTCATTATAAATTTATAAAAAATTCAACAAAATTTCTCCTAAATTTGTATTTTCCCTTGTACACAAAATATAAAAATACAATCAACCAAAATAAGATTAACCAAAACAAGAAATTGTCAAACAAATTAATAAATCTTGATTATAGACTTAATATAATTATCAATACTTTATTATAAGTACTTAAAACTTTTATAATTCATTATAAATTTATAAAAAATTCGATAGAGTTTCACCTAAAAATTATATTTTCCCTTTGTACATAAAATATTAAAATACAATCAACCAAAACAAGATTAACCAAAACACAAAATTGTCAAATAAATTACTTAATCATGATTAGAGACTTAATATAATTATCAATATCATATAATAAGTACTTTAATTTTTCCCAATTCATTATAAATTTATAAAAAATTCGACAAAGTTTTCCCTAAAAATTGTATTTTCCCCATGTACACAAAATATAAAAATACAAACAATATATATTTTCTTGTATGATATTCAATAAAATTAAAATGTAATTTGATTTCACTTAAATTGAATAAA